ATTTCTCTACACTGATATAATATTCTATGCCACCATTTAAATAATTTCGTTCAGATAGTTCTTAATCAATTTACATCCATACTATCTTAAAGTAAATTAAAGATTACAATGTTACGTTTTAGTTTGTTTCTACCTTTTTCTAAATAAATTGTGAATATTTATACCTCTACAAGTAAAAAGAACAACACATAATGTTGGAAATGTTACAAAATCTAAGTCAATCAATGACTGAAATGAGGTTTGCATTAAAGGGATACTCAGGCAAAATAATGGCAAAAATATAAAAATGATTTTCTGTACTCAAATCACCCTAAAATGACATTTCTTAAAGTCCCAACATGAATTTCTGTATAAATTCTATATATTTTGGGTTTGAAGTTAAAATATATCTATATATGTTGAACGAAATTTTGACGCGAACAGAATCACCGAATAGTTTAAAAACAAGTCATGCGATTTGAACAAACCCTGGAAGTTACAATAACAAATATTGTGGATATTGTATGATTGAAACAAGTCTAAGTAATTGATTTGACATGTTTTTTAACGTTTCCAGAGTACAGAGTGACAACTATTGTGAAATTTTAGCGCTCTAACCTGACCCACGCGGGTCAAGTTAGGAAAACACCATTTTATTCTTTATTTGGAGAAAAGTTTTGTTCCTTTGACTGTTTAGTGTATTCATTTTGAGGACATTTACAGAATAATGAATGAAAATTTCAAAACTAAGAAATGAAAATTTTGTCTGTGTCTCCCTTTAATATATTCAAATCCCTTTCATATGTTTTATTTCCATAGCTTTATCAATTATCACTTATTATATTTGCTTATGAAATATATAAGATAATCCAGAAATACAAATAAACTTCAAATTCTTCCTTGATATTTACCACTAATTTTAATTAACAAAGTTACATGTAGAGTGAATAGGATTCCAATACAGGAGTGTTTAGTTCTCTAAGACAAGTTATTTTTATTTATGCTAAGATAATAACATATACTGAATACTGATGTAAATGAACACTTAAAATGACATGACATGAAATATTCCAGGTGAACATATCTTAACTTTATAAACTTGTTTATGCATACCTATGGACAATGTAGATTTGTCATCATGCACATGCAATTATAGGTTAACAAATGTACTTTATTCAGTCTATATTCCAAGTTACAAACATGTTTGATGAATGTATTCTTAAGATATAACATATCTGTCTAAACATGAAATAACAATTCACATTCACATTCCAAGTAAATAATAAATAACACCTTTATGCATATTATAAAACTTATATGCTAGATGAATTTACTCTACATATACACGCACATTACGCCTCAGAAATGAATAGATTTTTATTTTTGTGAAAAAGGCAAATATTTGTTTTATAATGTTGTAAAAATGTGATATTCTTATCACCTGACTAAAAATGAGTTTAAAAAGAAAATATGATTAGTATAGCAAAATGAAAATTGTTATTTCACATCTATATAAAATACTTATTCATCATATATAACTGTACTAGTTGCTTAAATGTTAAAGAAACTAAAGATGGCCCAGATATATGGTCAATGATAAACGTTCTTGACAAAAAGAAGAAAGCTTTTGAAAACTAAAAGTGATTGCATTTTTTAAGACTAAATTGGCCTTTAAATCAAACATGTATTATAAAAACAGTTTAAAATGTAGGCATGGTGACATGACACAAAATATTTCTTTTTGTAAAATAAAACAAACAAGCATGTGTATACTCCTACAATAAAGAACTAATATCATTCATGTGTTTACATAATGTATTTAATATTTTATGTTACAAATATGTGTAACTATGTTTACATGGTACAAAAATTGTGACAAAACGTTTAATTAATTTGTTCCAATACCCCAGCCTCTTATTTTCCATGGAAATCCCTGGAAAAGCATGGACTTTTTACACCCGGGTTAAAGGAGCTCCACTGAGGTCCAAAAGCCAAACCAAAAAGTATAAAAATATAAAATCAAAAAAAGATTACTCGGGGTATTCAATACAGAAAACAAGAGCCACCGCCGGGCGGTGGCAACGCTCCACTTTTTACTTTCTCTAAAAGCAAACAAAGAAATGATTGAACAAAATATTAACGTTTCCTTTTTATAAAATTAATCATTCTGTCTTGTCACATTAGTTTTGTCTATATATTTTTATATATAAATTTACTAATTTATATATATATAAATAGAGACACGCAATTCTGTAAATAGAAAATTCTATCAATAGAAACACACAATTCTATCAATAGAAAATTCTATAAATAGATACACGTGGTGGAGTCACGTGGTGGTTACACTTAGTGGTGATACGTGGTGGAGACACATGGTGAAGTCAAGTCACGTGGTGAAGTCACGTGGTGGAGTCATGTGGTGGAGTCACCTGGTGGTGTCACGTGGTGGTAGTCACGTGGTGGTAGACACGTGGTGGAGTCACGTGGTGGAGTCACGTTGTGGAGTCATGTGGTGGAGACACGTGGTGGAGTCATGTGGTGGTGTCACGTGGAAGTCATGTGGTGGAAGTCACGTGGTGGAGACATGTGGTGGAGCCACGTGGTGAAGCCACGTGGTGGAAGTCACGTGGTGGAGACACGTGGTGGAGTCACATGGTGAAGTCACGTGGTGGAGTCATGTGGTGAAGTCACGATAAACAACAAGGTATTGTCTTTAAGTATGTTCTGTTATAATATGAAGTTGATCCCTTCAATAATAGCAAAATAACAGCTAGGTCAGGGTTGCCAGCATCATAGATAAATAAAATTCCTTGTCTTTTCCCTGACTTTTCACTGACCAAATTAGGTTTTTCACTGACTAAAACTACCAAACTTAAACGGTCTCCACCTCCCCTACAGCCGTCCAATTCACCCCAGGCCTTATTTCCTTCTATAGCAGGGGCCATTATAGGACTGTTTCCCCAAAAAGAAATTCTTTAAAATGATGCAGTTTTCCCACAAAATATAATTTACATCAAGTTTTTTCTTCCCCTTTTGCAAATATACCATTAATGTATCTCCAAAATTAAGGGCAGGCCTGCTTCCCCAACCTGTGAAAAAAGCCCTGCACCCATATGTTATTTTGTTGGTTTTTTAAATGCTTTTAACAATATGGTCAATAAAACATGCTTTATACATCTAAGTTTGGTATTTTGTGTTCAGTAAAATGTTTTTGATAAGATCAAGTCTGAAGCAAAACTATTATCTTGAGCTACAGAATACTGCCATAGCCAATATAATTAATAACAAGAGGGTCATGATGGCCCTGAAATTACTCATCTGAATATAAAAACTCTCCATGAACAAGAATAATTTTGACCCCAACAAAGTTGGTAAACACCCATTGGAAAATGTTTCATGCCAAATATCTAAGCTCTAGCTCTTTTGTTTTTTAAAAGAAGACTTTTTAGTTTTTACAATATATACATATAAGGAAACTTAATGACCCCCATGACTGGACCAGTTTTGACCCCAGGGCTTTTATTTTAACAAACGTGGTAGACACTTACTAAAAGATGTTTCATGCCAAATATCACAGCTCTACCTCTTTGGGCTTTTCAAAGAAGATATTGTTTTTTTTACTATGTACATAAAAGGAAAATCAGTAACCCCCTGGGGTGGGGCTTATTTTGACCCAAGGACTTTTATTTGAACAAACTTGGTAGACACACACTAGAAAATGTTTCATGCTTAATATCTAAACTCTAGCTCTTTTTGGTTTGTTACAAGAATTTTTAAATTCATATTAACATATAAGGAAAATCAATGACCCCCTTGACTGGGCAAATTTTGACACAAAGGCTTTTATTTGTACAAAATTGGTAGACACTGACTGAAGATGTTACATGCTTAATATCTAAGCTCTAGCTCTTAAAAGAGGTGAACATGGTTTTTTCCAGTTTTTACTTGATACATATAAGGAAAATTCTTCAAAATTATTTTCCCTGACTTTTCCCTGACATTTAAGGATTTTTATTCTTCACTGACCAATTTTCAAAATTCCCTGACAATTCCCTGACCTTGAAAAAATATCAGATTTCCCTGACTTTTCAAGTCTGCTGGCAACCCTGTAGTTACAGCCAAAACAAAGTCAAGGTCATTAACGAGTGAATAATAGCCAGAAACATGAAAATTTCAATAATTTGACCTTCAAAATCAAGGTCATTTATGACTGAAGGTCAAGGTCTGTGGGGTTATTTTTAAGGGTTATCCTTGAAGATTATTATGTTCAAGTTTGAAGACAATCAAAAATAACAAAGTTACGACCAATAATAGCCAGAAACATGAAAATTTCAATAATTTGACCTTTAAAGTCAATGTCATTTATGAGCGAAGGTCAAGGTCTGTCAGGTTATTTTTAAGGGATATCCTTGAAGATTATTATCTTCAAGTTTGAAGACAATCCATTCATAAATAACAAAGTTACAGCCAATAACAGCATGAACAAGCAAAATTTGGACTTTTAACCTTGAAGGTCAAGGTCATTTATGAATGAAGGTCAAGGTTAGTGTATTCTACTGAAGGGTCTTGTCCCAAGGGTTGTTGTGGCCAAGTATGAAGACAATACACCAAGAAATAAAAAAGTTATGATCCAGGTACAAGTTTGCGGACAGCAACGCCGCTGCGACTATAACAATACCTCTACGTTTTTTTCAAAAAAATGATACTAAAGAAATATACTCAGAATAAAATTGAAAATCAATATTAATGAATATAATATAATATAATGAAGTGTAATTTTCAAACGGACTTAAGCTATAAACATTTAAACACAGTCAACAGGACATTGTGCTTGACTATCCACAGTGATGGATAATGCAGAATTTTCTAACTTCAAAAAGGGAAATAATTCTGTCAAATATCTATGTGCTCGGACAGTGACTTCCTATTACTCTCATATATGTGTGTGAAGTTCTAATGCACCCTTTATAGATTACGTAAAAACTTAACCAAAATTTTTTAAATCGTAAAAGGGGAATAAATATGCGGAAAAAAATATGAGAGGTATGGGATTTGTGTTAGTCATGTTAAAGAACAAGAATGTCAATTGAAATTTTCATTCAGTAGTTTTTTAGATACCAACTTGCACACATAAAAGTAACCTAAGTTTGACACCAATGCGGTAAGTATTATTATAGCATTAGCTATTCATTGAATTTGAATAGCCGAGCTAAAATGATTAATAGTAATTTTGGAAAAACAAAGTGAGCAAATAATCTGAAAGTTTGCATACAAATTTTATACATGATAAATAATATATCTTCTTCAAATAGTATGACACCTCAACAACATAACTCCCGTCCTATCATGTCAAGAAATTAAGAAAATATTATCCTCAGTGGAGACCCTTTAACGATACTGTTTGAATAATACTGACTAACAGTATTAACTTGTACACATTTATGGTTTTCCATAATTACAATTTGTAAATTTTTACAATCTTTACAATATAAAACAATCAAAGAAGGAATCTCTAAAATATAACATGTAAATGGTCCTCATCTCAATGTAACAATTTACTTGTCCTATATATAACAGGTATTTATATATACCATTCCCTTGTCCTATATATCATCTAACAGGTATTTATATATACCATTCCATTGTCCTATATATCATCTAACAGGTATTTATATATACCATTCCATTGTCCTATATATCATATAACTGGTGTTGATATAAATAATTCCATTGTCTAAATATTGTATAACAGGAATTTACATATGTAACATTCCTTTGCTTTATATAACATATAAATGGTATTCATTTATACCATTTTCCTTTACATCTTATAACTGGAATAAAAATATAAAAGCCAAAACTGATTAATCGGGATATTCAATAAGGGAAAAAAATGATACTAAAGAAATATACTCGGAATAAAATTGAAAATCGATATTAATGAAGTGTAATTTTCAGACGGACTTTATCTATAAACATTTAAACACTGTCGACAGGACATTGTGCTTGACTATCCACAGTGATGGATAATGCAGAATTTTCTAACTTCAAAAATGGAAATAAAAGTAACCTAAGTTTGACGCCAATGCGGTAAGTACTATTATAGCATTAGCTATTCATTGAATAGCCGAGCTAAAATGATTAATAGTGAAAAACAAAGTGAGCAAATAATCTAAAATTTTGCATACAATTTTTTTACATGAAAAGTAATAAATCTTCATTAAATAGTATGACACCTCAACAACATATCTCTCATTAGACATCCTATCATGTCAAACAATTAATATAATAAAATCCTCAGTGGAGTCCCTTTAAATATACACTTAGAGTGTAATACTGACTAACAGAATTAACTTGTACACATAAATCGTTTTGCATAATTATAATTTTTCTCACTTTTTCAATCTTTACAATAAAAAACAATCAAAGAAAAAATATCTAAAATATAACATGTTTACTAAATGGTCCTCATCTCAATATATATCATGTAACAGGTATTCATATATAAAGTTTACAATTCCTCTATATCATATCACATATACCATTCCATTGTCATGTATATCATATAAGTGGTATTTATATATACCATTCCATTGCCCTATATATCATATAACCAGTATTTACATATACCATTACCTTATCCTACATTCCATATAACTTTGTATCATTCCTTTGTCCTATATAACATACATTTGGTATTTAATTATAACATTTTATTGTCATATTTATCATATAACTGGTATTTATATATACTATTCATTTATCCTATATATCATATAACTGGTATTCATTACACCATTCCATTGTCATATATATCATATAACTTGTATTTATTTATACCAATCAATTGTCCTATAAATCATATTTGGTATTTTAAAATATCATTCCCTTGTCTTTTATATAATAAAACTGGTATTTATATATACAACGTACCCCTGTCCTATATATTGTACAACTGGTATTTATATATACCATTCCATTATCCTATACACCACATAACTGGTATCAATATATATCATTTACTTGTCCTATATATCGTGCAACTAGTATTTGTTTATACCATTACATTGTCCAATATATCATATAACAGATATTTATTTATTCAGTTACATTAATCATTCACTTCTTCTGCCCTTGTACATTATGATATAACTGGTATTTATATATACCTGATTCCCTTGTCCTTTATATCATATAACTGGTATTTATATATACCATTCCATTGCCATACATATTTATATGACTGGTATTTGCATGTTATCTTTTACTTCTTCTAACTTTTCTGACCATGTAAATTACATTAAGTATCTGTATTATGATATTTCCATTAAATTTACTTATTTATTAATATATTTACTTGTTTATTTTCAAATCTATTTATGCATTTTAATTAGAACATTACTTTTTCATATCATATTTTTTCACAAACTAAATCTGATCTTTAAAAAATAACTTTCACCTTTATCCAGATTTATATATTTTGTCTTTTATATTTCAGTGCATTTCTGTCTTTTTTTTAAATTTAAATACACATTTGAATATTACTTTCATCAATTTCAATATTATTACAATGACCAGAAATTAATATTTCAGTTCAACTGTTTTTGATGATTGTTATCTATCATATTGCACTACATTCATTACTTAACTTATCAATATGTAACTTTAGTATTACTTATTTGCTGATAATGAAAAGTCTACTTTTATATGTCTTTTATCATGAAATAATTAAGATTAAACAATACGTTTACTGCATGTATTCTCCCTCACTATGTTAACAATTCGGATAATTTCGGATAATTTTTTTTGTCGAAAATGAAAAACCAAATTATCATCTCTCTATGTTCACTTCATGCATCCTATATCACTTTTTTGTTGAAAACATAAACAAATGATCAGTATCATATTTAACATGAAATAACTGATCCTTATCTTTTACATACTGTTTAGCATCATTTCCCTTCCCTCCTCCTTGTGATATCAATGTTAACATATCATCATTAAACTCCTCACCATCTCCTGTTATATAACAGTCTGATACAATCACATCTACAGTATGAGGAATACCAGGAAGACTATCAACAAACTTCTGCCATGTTGTCAAACTCATTATGACAATATTCAGCTCAATGTTCTTTAAACTCTGCATATGTAAAGGTAGCTGTATTATATTGTCAGTTAACCTACAATGCCATAACTTAAGCTTACTGAGATTGTGTAGCAATGGTAATACTGTGACTAGTCTCTTTGTTATGTTGGTATGATATAATTGAGATTTATTGTCACCTTTTCCATACAATTCAAGTTCTTTTAATTTTGTATGATTTTCTAAAAATATCAAATATTTTCTCATAATTGCTATCTTTCAATTTACCAAATTTAAATATTTCAAGGTTTGTAGTATCAGCATCTATCACACTAACAGTATTATACAAATTAAGGTACTGAAATTGTTGATGTTTTGATAAATTTATATCATGCTGGTTCTCACACATACATATAACATAATTAAGATGTATTTGTTCAAGATGACTGGTTGTCTCAAGAATATTACAAAATGTAGTAGTATCATCATGACTCATTGTTATACCACTCATACATATTACTACAAGATTGATCATACTAGGTAGGTTACTAACAACTGTTTTACACACTGGGTAATACTTGACAGTGTAAGAGACATGAAGAGACAGAGACTTTAATGTTGAAGTATTTACTTTAATTGTCTCAGAAACACAATTGTTTATCTCATTAATCCTCTGTTCATTACTATGTGTACTATCACTGTGTGAACTTGTTAACCTTTGTAATTCAAATTCATATGTTAATTCAATTTTTTCAAGATGATTAAACATTGGTAAATATTTTGTAAATTTAGCATTTTCTGTGTTGATGTAAACTACATCAATAGACAGAACAGAGTCAGGAACAATTTGATGCTGATCAATACTTGAACAAACAATATCACAATACACACTATCATAAATAACCAAATCTCCTATATAAAATACAGTATTACTTCCTATACTACATGTTGCATTGAATTCTTCCATTGAATCAAACATAAGCTTTTGAATATCAGTAATACAATCATGATTGCTATAAATGTTACTACTTATTGTTCTCCTGTATTCCTGAACACAAGAGTCTTTCGATGCAGTATCATATATGTATTTTGAAACATGTGTTGCTGATCTAGGTTCAAGACCACATAGCATAATGATAACATTTGACTGTTCTAATATGTCATTTACTGTTGAACATTTCTGAAAAACCTCATTAATAAACTTCTTGGCTAATTCAACATTTCCTGTACTATCTGACAAACCAATTTTTGCATTGAAATTGATGCCAATATACACTGCAGCCAGAAATTCTTGCATTGATTTGTGAATAAAAGAGAACAATGAGCTTGATGCTTCTGATACAGAAAAACTTGGACATTCATCTTCTGTCATTATTCCAAGTTTCAAGCAATTTTCTCTTACTTCATCTGATATATCTAGTTCATCAAACATACAAATGTCAAATGTCAAAGATTTATCCTTCGGACAATTAAATAGTGTCTCATAAGCCAACTGTGACACTTCATAAATGAAATGGCGATTTAATCTTAATTTGGTTTTATCGGCTAAATATTTGGGAAGATCTACTTTCTGGGTCCCCTTCATGAGTCGAGTACTTGTTCCTGTAGTTTTCATGTCATTCCATGTGAAGAATAACTCTAACATACCGGTGTAGATGGCACATCTTGAGGTTTTATCGAGTTTACCATCAAACCATAGACATATCAGTTGTTGTAGCATAATTGGTACCTTTTTTAAACTTTCAAGAGACTTTTCCTTCAGCTTTTTCCTACAGTCTCTAGCTTCTTTATTAGCATGTCTATTTACATTTAATTGTGAGACTGTCCTATTGACCATTTCCCTTTCACATTTAAAATCAAACCCTTTCAGTTTCAGTGATTGTTCAATCTCCACATCACTTGATCTTAATGTATGAAATTTCTATGGCCGCTAAGTAGTTAATATTGTGTACTCCTTAAAGATACTATGTTCTGGGACATTTTCAAGGGACCATTCATCTAAGCCATCAAGCAAAATCATAACTCTAGAGGATTCTTCTTCAAGAAGTATGTGTAACATTTTCATTTGATAACGTTTTAGAAGCATTTCATCTATATTGTCAATTTTTTTATACTGTCTAAGAGGGATGTAAAATACAAAATCAAATTTCTTCATCTCTTTTACACCATTGAATTTAAGTTCATAATTTTTGCTATCATATTCAGAGTCGCTATCATATTCAGATAATTTTTTTTTAAATTTTTTAAACTTATTAGTCAGGGATTCGATTAGTGTTAAGTTATCACTATTATCCTGAATGTCCTCACTGTCACTATCGGATTCGGAGTGTATTAAGTCACCATCAGAGTCGTCACTATCACTTCCATTTTTCTTAATGCCACCCACATGTTTTTCATCTCCTCGTTTCTCATTAACACCTTGATGTGTCTTACTGCTCTCTTCGTTTTCAATGTCTCCACTATGTGTCCCCTTTACCTCTTCATTTACAATGTCATTTCCCTTTTTTTCATGTTTTTCATTATCACCTCCTGGTTCCTCACTGCCACCTCCATGTTTTTCACTGTCGCCTTCAGGTTTACCACTGCCATCATCATTTTCATTTCCAGCTCCATGTTTTTCACTGTCACCTCCACGTTTTTCACTGTCACCTTCAGGTTTTCCACTGCCATCATCATTTTCATTTCCAGCTCCATGTTTTTCACTGTCACCTTCACGTTTTCCTCTGCCATCTTCATTTTTATTGTCAGCTCCATGATTTTCACCATCACCTCCATATTTTTCACTGTCAACTTTAGGTTTACCACTGCCATTTATATTTTCATTGCCAGCTCCATGTTTTTCACCATCACCTCTGTGTTTTTCACTGTCACCTTCAGGTTTACCATTGCCATCTTCATTTTCATTGTCAGCTCCATGATTTTCACCATCACCTCCATATTTTTCACTGTCAACTTTAGGTTTACCATTGCCATTTATATTTTCATTGCCAGCTCCATGTTTTTCACCATCACCTCTGTGTTTTTCACTGTCACCTTCAGGTTTACCATTGCCATCTTCATTTTCATTGTCAGATCCATGATTTTCACAATCACCTCCATATTTTTCACTGTCAACTTTAGGTTTACCACTGCCATTTATATTTTCATTGCCAGCTCCATGTTTTTCACCGTCACCTCCATGTTTTTCACTGTCACCGTCAGATTTACCATTGCCATCTTCGTTTTCATTGCCAGCTTCATGTTCCTCACTGTGTGCCAAACACCAACAGTTGACCAGATATTTACAAAAACTAGTTTTTCCTGAACCTGCATCTCCTAGAATATAAACAGATTTTTGGGGAACTCCCTTCTTTGTGAAGACTTCTGACATTGTTTCAACCTCCACCTCCCTTGTCTCACCCTTTTCTCCTTTTATTTCCCTCGTTATTTTGGGCCTAATATAAATCTCATTAAAGCTACATTTTTCACTTTTTGGTTGTAAAGGTGTTGTAGGAACTTGCAGCAGGGTTTTGTGATACTGTTCTATCAGATTTTTCCGCCATTCTGTAATTTAAATGATTATATGACATCAAATTATAAAGGACAAATCAATGAGTAAATGATACAAAAAATAAGTATGGACCTAGACAGATTATCACAGAAATATATAAAAGAAATAGATTACATCACAGGGGGCCTCATTGAAATGTAAAGACAAATCAGTTAGTCAGCAAATATTGAACAGACTGAAGCTAGTTAATGACAACAATCAAAAAATTAAGCCTTTTCATGTCCTATACAAAATACCTAATTTATCCCTTTCATATTCTATGTAACATAACTGATTTACCTTTTTCATATTCTATATAACTTGCCTGATCTCGCCTTATCATATTCTATATATCATACCTGATTAAGCCATTTCATATCCTATATAACATACATTATTTAGCCTTTTCATTATTATTTAAATCACATACCTGATTTAGCTTTTACATATTCTATATAACATACCTGATTTAGCTTTTACATATTCTATATATCATACCTGATTTAACCTTTTCATATCCTATATAACATACGTTATTTAGCCTTTTCATTACTATTTAAATCACATACATGATATAGGTTTTACATATTCTATATAACATACCTGATAACGTCTTTTTCATATTCTATATAACATGCCTGATTTCGCCTATTTTACATTGTACATGTATATAACATATCTGATTTAGTATTTTCATATTCTTAATAACATACCTGATTTAGCCTTTTCATATTTAATATAACATTCCTGATTTATCCTTTTTAAATTCTATATACCATACCTGTTAAAACATTTAACATTCTATATAACATACCTAATTTAGCCTTTTCATTTCCTGATTAAGTCTTTTCATATTCTATATAACATACCTGATTTGGCCTTTTCATATTCTATATAAAATACCTCATATAACCTTTTTTATATTTTATATAACATGCATGATTTAGTCTTTTCATATTCTATATAACATATATGATTTGGCATATTTCATATTATATATAACATTCCTGATATAAACTTTTCATATTCAAAATAACATCCCTAATTTGGCCTTATCATATTCTATATAATATACCTGATTTAGCCTTTTTTCATATTCTTTATAACAAATCTGATTTAGTCTTTTCACATTATATATAACATAACTGATTTAGCTTTTTCATATTCTATATAACATACCTATTGTATTTTTTTCATATTCTATATAACATGCTTGATTTAGTCTTATCATATTATATATAATATACCTGATTTTGCCTATTTATATTCTATATGACATACCTGATTAAGTCCTTCATATTCTATATAACACACCTGATTTCCCCTTTTCATATTCTATATAACATATTTGATTTTGCCTTTTTATATTCTATATAACATACCTGATTTAGTCTTTTCGTATTCTATATAACATACCTGATTTGGCCTTTTTGTATTAGATATACAATACCTTATGTACCCCTTTTTATATTCTATAGAACATACCTGATTTAGTCTTTTCATATTCTACATGACATTCCTGATATAACCTTTTCATATTCTATATAACATACCTGATTTAGTCTTTTCGTATTCTATATAACATACCTGATTTGGCCTTTTTGTATTAGATATACAATACCTTATGTACCCCTTTTTATATTCTATAGAACATACCTGATTTAGTCTTTTCATATTCTACATGACATTCCTGATATAACCTTTTCATATTCTATATAACATACCTGATTTAGTCTTTTCGTATTCTATATAACATACCTGATTTGGCCTTTTTGTATTAGATATACAATACCTTATGTACCCCTTTTTATATTCTATAGAACATACCTGATTTAGTCTTTTCATATTCTACATGACATTCCTGATATAACCTTTTCATATTCTATATAACATACCTGATTTAGTCTTTTCGTATTCTATATAACATACCTGATTTGGCCTTTTTGTATTAGATATACAATACCTTATGTACCCCTTTTTATATTCTATAGAACTTACCTGATTTAGTCTTTTCATATTCTACATGACATTCCTGATATAACTTTTTCATATTCTATATAACATACCAGATTTAGTCTTTTCGTATTCTATAAAACATACCTGATTTGGCCTTTTTGTATTAGATATACAATACCTTATGTACCCCTTTTTATAATCAATAGAACATACCTGATTTAGTCTTTTCATATTCTACATGACATTCCTGATATAACCTTTTCATATTCTATATAACACACCTGATTTCCCCTTTTTATATTCTATATAACATATTCCATTTTGCCTTTTCATATTCTATATAACATACCTGATTTAGTCTTTTCGTATTCTATATAACATAACTGATTTGGCCTTTTTGTATTAGATATACAATACCTTATGTACCCCTTTTATATTCTATAGAACATACCTGATTTAGTCTTTTCATATTCTACATGACATTCCTGATATAACCTTTTCATATTCTATATAACATATCTGATTTAGCCTTTTCATATTATATATAACATATCTGATTTAGTCTTTTCATATTCTGTATAACATACCTGATTTGGCCTTTTTATATTATATATAACATACAAAATTTAGTCTTTTCATATTCTATATAACATACCTGATTTAGTCTTTTCATATTCTATATAACATACCTGATATAAGCTTTTCATATTTTATATAACATGCATGATTTAGCCTTTTTCATATTCTATATAACATACCTGCTTTATTAGCCTTTTCATATTCTATATACATTAGTCACATACCTGATTTTGCCTTTTCATACTCTAACTGTTTTTGTTGAGGAGAATCTTCTACCTTGAGTCTTTTTATCTCCTACAACATAAAAAAAATAATGCAAATAACTGTGTTTTATTCAGTTTTTTTAAAAACTATTTATTGTATAATGTTATATATTGGTATTTCCAGTCAGTCTCTTTCACATACAGTGAATATATCTTAACAAGAGGGCCATGATGGCCCTGAGGTCGCTCACCTGTATATAGGCCCCCGGAGCAGGGCCAGTTTAGACCCCAGGGCTTTTATTTGAAAAAAATTGGAAGACACTCATTAAAAAATGTTTCAAGATGTTAAGTTTTTACTACACACATATAATGAAAAACAATGATTTCTCCCCCTCCCACCCGCAGGGCCAATTTTCACCCGAGGGCTTTTATTTGAACAAACTTGGTAGACACCCATAAGAAGATGTTTCATGCTAAACATCTAAGCTCTAACTCATTGGGCTTTTTCAAAGAAGATTTTTAAAGTTTTAACTATACACATACAGTTAAAAACAATGACATCCCTGGGGCATGGCTGCTAGTTTTGACCCCAGGGCTTTTATTTGAACAAACTTTGTCGACAATTACTAGAAGATGTTTCATGCTTAATATCTAAACTCTAGCTATTTGGGTTTCTTCAAAGAGGGTTTTTAAGTTTTTGCTAAACACATTTCAGGAAAATCAATGACCCCCGAGGTGGGGCCAATTTTGAAACAAGGGCTTTTATTTGAACAAACTTTGCAGACACTCACTAGAACATGTTTCATGCTTAATATCTAAACTCTAACTATTTGAGTTCTTTAAAAGAAGATTTTTTAAGTTTATGCTATACACATATAAGGAAAATCAATGACCCCCGGGGTGGGGCCAATTTTGACCCCATGGCTTTTATTTGAACAAACTTGGTAGACACCCATTAAAACATGTTTCATGCTAAATATCTTAGCTCTAGCTCTTTGAGTTCTTAAAAAGAAGATTTTTAAGTTTTTGCTATACACATATAAGGAAAATCAATGACCCCCGGGGCGGGGCAAATTTTGACCCCAGGGCTTTTATTTGAACAAACTTGGTAGGCACCCATTAAAACATGTTTCCTGCTAAATATCTTAGCTCTAGCTCTTTGAGTTCTTTAAAAGAAGTTTTTTTTAAGATTTTACGATAATTATACATATAGGAAAAATCAATGACCCCCGGGGTGGGGCCAATTTTGACCCCAGGGCTTTTATTTGAACAAACTTGGTAGACACCCATTAGAACATGTTTCATGCTAAATATCTTAGCTCTAGCTCTTTGAGTTCTTAAAAAGAAGATTTTTTAATTTTTTGCTATACACATATAAGGAAAATCAAAGACCCCCTGGGGCGGGGCCAATTTTGACCCCTGGGCTTTTATTTGAACAAACTTGGTATCCACTGGAAACGAACAGCCCTCTCTTAAAACCATGTTGAATTTAAAACATGTACAAATATATTATTGGGGGAAAAACATATAAAGTTCTCTTGTGGAATACATATACCTTAATCAACGAGAAACAAACAGTTATCTTAAAAGCATAGCTTGTGGAATGCATGTACCGGTATATCAACCAGAAACAAACAGTTCTCTTAAAACCATGGTTCTGTAATATATTTACCGGAAACAAACATACTAAGTTCTCTAAAAACCATGTTGTATGCAAGGCATGTACCATTATATAAATGGAAATAAACACTAGAAATGTTAAGTTTACCTCATTTAGTTTGAATATCTGGGTTTCAAGTTCTATAGATGTATTTTTAAGCTCCTCATATTCCTCTTTAAGTGGAGCATCTTCAATTGATTTTAGAACTTTTTTCATTTCTTCCTTGATTTGTCCCAGAATTTCATCAAAGTCTACAGTAGTTATAATGAAGTCCCTCTTCTTCAGCTAATGAAAAAATATCAATTCTTTTATATTTTCTTCATAAAATATGTAGCTACTTACTTTTCTATACAACAAATTATATACAGGAGCTGTCGGTAGGACAGCAATGCTCGACTATTCTTAGTGCTTGATAGTAAAAAAAATGCTTGATACAATTACATCCTCCTGTTTACAGGTTGGGGTTATGATGGTGAACAAGTGTGCAAAGTTTCAAAGCAATACATGTATGTCAATGGACATTTAAAATATTTAAACTATTACAAAAACTTTAACGTAAATTCTAAGTCGAAAAAGGGGCATAATTCTGTCAAAATACTTGATACAGTTACCTCCTCCTGTCTACAGGTTGGGGTAATAATGGTGAACAAGTCATCACCGTGGCACAAAAAGTACTGTAACTGACATTTTTGAAATTTTACAGGAGACACAAAAAACTGATTTGTTCATTTTGAGTAAACCCTTTTAATTCCAGACAATAATGTTAAAATACCATTAATTAGTATTATTAAATTGGTTTTAAACATAACAATTATTCATTTATGGATAAAAAGTAATTAGAAATTCTTCTACACTTACATGACTTTTTGCACTGTGATTTTAAACGCAAAAATTGATGTAAGTGCACTTACCATAGTTTTTGCACTAACTTTAATTTTAAGTATCGAAGTTACTACATTGCATATACATTGAAAGATGTTTATTACAAACAAATTAAGTGTAAGGTTTGTTTAAAATAGGTCTTTGTGGATTATGAACCAAATTTAATACATGGAAGATATGAAAGGAAGTTTAAAAACTGAACATTTTAAAATTAATTTTAAACAGTAACAGTAAATCCAAAGCAGTGTAATTTTTTTAATTTCAAAGTAAATGTAAGCATTAATCACAACAAAATTACATGAAAACTGCAGACTCAGTACATGAGCAATAATGAAAAGTGCAACATCCTTCACGCCCCCTAGCACCGACTTAAAACTGTACTCAATTTTCAACACTTAAAAGTGCTGGAATCAATGATTACAGAGGACCAGAAAAAACATAACAACACTGAAGTGAAGTACGTGACAACTTATAATCCATGTTTTTTACTGTTGTCATTTTCTAATGCGACAGTTTATTTATGTATTTGTTATATAAAGGGGCATTTGGAGATCTATATAATTATCATAATATCTATGTCTCAATAATATCCAACCATCACAGGGACGTAGACTTTGAGATTTTTGATAAAACCACTAGGAATCTTGAAACTTTTCTGAACATTTTTGTTTGATGTTGTCGAGATTTTGGATGAACCTGCTAAAAATCCTGAAATTTTCTTGTCCAACATATCCAAGTGAGATCCTTTTATTTTATATCTCATGAACAGACTTTAATTTTTATAAATAATTTTGTTTTCATTGCTTCTTTTTTTTTTAATTTTGATATATTGAATTCAAATTGTCTTATTTCCTGCCACCAAACTTTAAAAATTATACGCCATATCACTATCATGGTTTAATAGCTTTTATTTTATATAACAAGTCAGATTAGTTTATGTGGTTTGGGTCTTTGAAAATTGAGATTTTCTGTTAATTAAAGTGTTTTACATGCATGACACAGAGAATGAACTGAGTCATTTTAATTTTTGATAATAGACCCCATTCTATATGTATGAATGCATGGGAGTTGTAGATGCACCACATTAGACTTAACATACTAGCAATTATGGTTTTGACCAATATAGTATTGAAACACTGATTACAGGCCTTTGTCTGCCATGTTTTTTTAGAAATTAAAAAAGAAAAGATAAACCAATGTTAGCAACTGTTTCTTTCCAGGGCTATAAACAGTAAAATTGCAGTTACATTTTTATAATACAGTTGTCCTTATATAATGCAATAAGAATGTAAATCTTTTAAGCAAGTTTTATCTTTATTTTTATAATAAAAAATTGAGTAAACAATTGAAAAACAAGAGCCCGGTTTGAGCCGGGTGATGCTCCCCGAATAGGTTTTGGACACAGGAAAGTACACCTCTTGTAGTTTCAGAGTTATGTCCCTGGAAAAAGTTCAAAGTGCAATAATTCCAAAATTAGGAAAGGCAGAGTAACTGCTCTTTCCACTGCACTTCTAATCTCTGTTATCTATCAACTTACAAAGTTTCTTGTTGATATCTCTTATGGTTTCCGAGTTATGTTCCGGACAAATTCAAAAAGTAAAAATAAACAAATGGCTCTAGAATAAGGCAAGGCAGAGTTATGATTCTCGTGCACTGCACATCTACCCATTGAGATACATCTACCTACAAAGTTTCATGTTGATATCTCTTATAGTTTTACAGCTATGTCCAGTACAAGATTTTTCTAAAAGGGGAGATAATTAAAAAATGAGGTTTAACAGAGTTATGGTTTTTTGCACTGCACTTCTTATCAATCTGATCTATCTACCTACAATGTTTCATCTTGATATCTCTTATAATTTTAGAGTTATGTTCCGGACAAAGTTCAGTGTTAAAATTAACAAAGAGCAATAACTCAAAAATTAGGACAAAAAGAGTTATTGTTCTTATGTACTGCACATCTACCCATTGAGATCTATTCACCTACAAAGTTTAATGTTGATATCTCTTATAGTTTAAGAGTTATGTTCCAGACAAAGTTAAAAGTGTTGAAATTAACAAAGGGCAATAACTCCGAAATTAGGACAAAAAGAGTTACTGGTCTGATCCACTGCACATCTGCCCATTGAGATCAATTCACCAACAAAGTTTCATGTTGATATCTTTTATAGTTTTAGAGTTATGCCCCGGACAAGATTTTTCTATAAGGGGAGATAATTAAATCAAAGCACAGAAGGCGCTGAATTAGTTAGGGTCTCAGAATGTTTTGATATTATAAACCAATTTGTTTTTGTATAGTGCCACCAATGCTTTCCAGTGTTTCAACTGTAGTAAATTGGCTAAAAGACTAACTGCAACACTGATAGTCAATTCAGTGTTTACTTGATTTAAAAAAAAAATAAGAAAAAAAATGAGTTTCTGCAACTAGGTTGAACTCGAGACCTCTCGACTTAGAAGCGAGCGTGCAAACCCCTCGGACACGGTGAATTTATATGTTAACGGCCCGAAGAAAACCATATTATTCTAAATAAGAGTTTGTAACTCTTATTATTTCGACGCTAAACACAGATGTTAGTAATCATGGAGCTTACTCTAAGCATGTATATTTATAAAGACTGAAACAATATAAGAAATCTTCGACCATTCGGGAACTACTTTGCTTGAAAATTAATGCGCCTGTCATTTGACAATCTTTACGCATTGATCGCCCCTGAATTTTTCGGCGTTATGGTACATATAAAGGGAAGTAACCGCTTCAAAAAAGTGGACTACTTTAGGCATTTGCAAGTAACAGCATTCGGCTATGATATTTCGCTACCATTATTTGTTTGGTCTGACGACCCAAAGAAATAAAAATGAGGCTTAACAGAGTTATGGTTCTTTTGCACTGCACTTCTACTCAATGAGATCTATCTACCTACAATGTTTCATCTTGATATCTCTTATAGTTTCAGAGTTATGTTCCGGACAAAGTTCAAAGTGTTGAAATTAACAAAGGGCAATAACTCAAAAATTAGGACAAAAAGCGTTATTGGTCTTATGCACTGCACATCTAGCCATTGAGATCTATTCACCTACAAAGTTTCATGTTGATATCTCTTATAGTTTTAGAGTTATGCCCCGGACAAGATTTTTCTTTAAGGGGAGATAATTCAAAAACCGGGCAAAATAGAGTTATGGTTCTTTGACACTGCACTCCCCCTTAATGCCGTCTACCACTCTATGAAGTTTAAACAAATTATCTCCAAGGGTTTTCAAGTTATGCTCCGGACAAGAAAACGGACGGACAGACGGACGGACGGACAGACGGACATACGGACAAGGCGCCGCCTATATGCTCCCCCGAATTTTTTAGGGGAGCATAAAAAATACTTAAAGCTGTCATCAATAGAAATGATATTGATGTGTATCGTTGATAATTTTTTGGTGATCAGTACACATTTTAGAAAAATCAATAATTTTGATTTAATAATTGAATGTCTAGAAATTATGAAAATTCAACCAAAACATAATTATGCAGAAGAATATATTTCATGGCAGTGATGACAAAAAATTGTTAGCAAAAATGCAATGGGCATTTGTTTGAAACAGGACACATTTATGACAAGACCATGTTTTTACTGAAAGCATTTAAACAATTATGAAAAAGAATTACGAGACAAGTATTACGCAATTATCAATATATCTGTGTATCATCAAAATTTTTTCATCATAAATTTGTTTTCCTCCGAATCAATGACAGCTCTTATATTACTTGAATCATTTAAAAATATCAACAAAATTTGAATACTGAAATATTCCTAGCTTTATTGTTTGTTGTTAAATTAAAATAAAACATTTTCTTTAAATGTTAGTTTCCTAAAGTATATTTATATATAAAATTTGTATTTTAGAAGTAATTTTACTATTTATTAATGCAGTAGTGAAATAGTTTAATGTAGTTACAATACTTTTTGCATTAAATTATTTTCAACTTATCTGTATAAACTTACTGTGTACTTACTGTAGTTTTTGCACCAACGAATTCTGAAGATGCACTTACATTTTTTATTTTTATGCCAAAAAAGTCATTTTTTATCAAAATTCAGCTTCTAAACTTCAGAGACTGGTGAAAGTTTGTATTTCTAACCAAATAATGACAAAAAGTGATTTTCTCAAAAAATGTCAGTAACATTACTTTTTGCTCCAAAATGACGAAGTGTGCAAAGTTTCAAAGCCATATGTCAATGGACTTTGAAAATATTTGAACTATTACAAAAACTTTAACATTAATTCTAAGTCGAAAAAGGGGCATAATTCTGTCAAAATGCTTGATACAGTTACCTCCTCCTGTCTACAGGTTGGGGTAATGATAGTGAACAAGTGTGCAAAGTTTCAAAGCCATATGTCAATGGACTTTGAAA